CAGCTATAGAAAGTACTCCTTTGTACAATGCCTGACTTGGGGGAACCACTGATACAGGATAGACTAATAGCTGCTTGTTTAAATGACTTTAACTATTCAAATCCCCAGGGGGACAGATCCAGCAATAACCATTAGTCATGATGGCTCAATGTTCAGAGGCAGTGAATCTCTAAATAAGTTGCCGAGCAGCAACTGGGTGTGACTTTGGCTTCTATGCCTGAGTCCAAGATTCAGTAAAGAGCTGTTTCTGTATGACTGCATAGTGCTTTCATACTAACAAAGCAAAATAGCATAGTTTCAGGGGAAACCTGGATGTCAGACCTCTCTAGGAATTGCCAGAAATTCTATGGCAAAACCTAGATTCCTAGAGAGGACTCCTAGCAAGTCTTAGAAAGGACATTGGTGACATCATGCTGTTGGCTATTTGAGTAAGGGCCTGACAACACTCATTATGATGGATGTGGAGAGCAAAAACCCCTGAATCTTCTTGGCTAGAAGGCCCACTCAGCAGTAGCAGCAGTGATGGTTAGAAAGTTTTAGGTAGTCCTCCTTGTACTCTTTTTGAGCCAGTTTGGTGTAGTGGTTAAGTGTGCAGACTCTAATCTGGGAGAACCGGGTTTGATTCCCCACTCCTCTACTTGCACCTGCTGGATGACCTTGGGCAAGCCATAGTTCTGGCACAGCTGATTCTGAAAAAGAGCAGTTTCTGTCAAGAGCTCTCTCAGCCCCACTTACCTCACAGGATGTCTGTTGTGGGGAGGGGAAGGGAAAGGAATTTGTAAGACTCTCTGAGACTCCTTTGGGTAGTGAAGGGCGGGGTATAAATCCAATCTCTTCTTCTTCTTTGAAAACAACGCAGAAACTGGAACTGGTGCAAAATGTGGTGACACATGTGTTGTCTGGTGCCTGCTGAATTATGCACATTGTGCCAGTGTTGAGAACATTGCATTGGCTGCCAGTAAGTTTCCAGGTTCAATATGAGGATTAGTACCCAAGAACAGCCTCTAAGCATATAAAGATCTGCTCTTGCAGTCAGGGTCTGTTCCTTTGTGCATGCAGGTTCAACTGGTCTCTGCGGATTCATGGGTTTTATCTGGGGTTGCTCCAATGTTGTGGAACAGCCATCCAGAATACGCTAGGAAGGCTATCACTTTATTGCAATCCTGGAAATTTTTGCAAGGCTGAACTGAGAGAGAGAGGTGACATTCATTTAGATAATGACTGACATAGTACCACCATCTACATTTTGCTTTATGGAGAAACATAAGCAAAGACAAGTCCCTGCTCCATGGAGCGTGCAATCTAAACTAGGGGGGGGGGACATTTGTGGCTATTACAGCTAAAGATGTTGCTGGTCCCTGCTAAAGTCATCTAAGGCACAGCATATGAATCTGAGGGCATTAAGTGCCAGGCCTATAGGAGGGTGACTCGGGGAGAGTATAAAAGTGGCTCCCTGCCCCCTCCTCACAGCCATTTGCTACCTGCTGTTGCTTACCTGTCTGTCCAATCTATGGCTGTATGGGATTTGTTGGTCGCTTTGGAGCCAAGCAAGGATTTTTTGGAAGTCCCCTGATTGGCCTTTGGAGGACCTTTTTAGTGTGCTTCATGCTGCCTCAAGAGGGTTGGGATAATCAGGCCTGGTCTTGAGAGTGGTTAGGCTATAACTCGGTTGTCTAGAATAGGCTAGGTTGCTCATTAGAGGTTGGGAGAATTAGCAGGCACCCTGAAACCTCATGCAATGATGAAAGGTGTTCCTGAACAGCCCACCAATGAATGCTTTTGATGCTGAGCAGTATCAACTAAATCCTTCTGTTTTCTGTGTAGCACATCAGGGGACTTCTTGCCACAGTCAATGAGCAGGTGAGGGTAAACAAAGTTGGCAATAATTTGCTGGCTACATTTGGAGCCGTAGTGGTTTAATTTGAAATAAAGGTAGCCAGGGCAGCCTCCAGTGTAGCCTGTCTTTAAAATAAGGAAAATACATGATGATGTTGACCAGCCATTCAACAAACTAGTTCAGCTCAATTTGCATGTCCTTGTTTAATCATGAGACTTGTTTAATCACAGCTTGGAGAAGTGACTCCCATGCATGTGTAGGGGACTTTACTTTTAAGTAAGGTATACAGTGTTGGAGTACAATCATCACCTGAGAAAAATGACACAGAAATATTGCCATTTAGTTTTATACCCTGCTCTGAACCTGCTTCGGTGGGGAGGGCAGGGTCTAAATCAAATACATAAATTAAAAATTAATTAATGAGAGATACCAAGTTTTTTTATAAGGTACCTCATATTTAACAGCAAATCAGGTTGATCAAGGAGATTACTGAGGGCATCCAAAATACTTTGGGATTTATGTTTGCTTTCTGCATGTCCTGTGGCACACTTATTTTAAAAACAATCACAATGATAATTTCTTGATTCTATCAAAATGCAGGAGATAATGTTGCCACTTTGGGGAGCAGACATAAAAATCCCCCTGAGTATTTTATTTAGAAACATATACTGAAAGGCATATTATTAGACTTGAACACCTTGTGACATCTCAGTTGAGGAGATTGCCTGTTAGAGAAGATGAAATTTCTTAATATTTCTCAATATTTGGTGACTGTTCCTTACAGAGTTTCATTGTGGCTATCTAGGAGAGCACTTTCTTTAAGGTAGTGGGTGTTCTGTGACAGCATGTCATTCCCTTCTCAACATACGTACTTCCTGTTTCTTATGAATACCATAGTAAGGTTTATCTCTGTGACCATGACAAACAGGTGTATATATGGAATTGCCTTATTTTGCGTTAAGATCATTGGTCCATATAGTGCTGTATTATACAGTAAGACTAGCTGTGGTTCAGTTCAGTTTATTCAGTATATCACCAGCCCAATTACAGACAATACAAAAAGACTAGCTGTGATCCTGAGCATCCTAAAACAGAAGGTACGAGGGAACCTTTCGCTGAAGATGCCATGACTGAATCTGAGACTTTACTTCATGTACAACTTGCCTTTCCATTAATATGCTTTACTATTGAACTATAGGCCCTGTTCATGGAGATGGGAAAAGAAGGGCCAAGCAAAAGCCCAGAGAAGGGCCTTTTGCACATACCTATGTCTGAGGCATGATGTAGGTGTCAGTAATCTATTGGGGTGGTGGGTGTAGAATTTTGGAATAGGTGGGGAAGAGGGCATGAACCAAGAATTCTTAGAAGGTTTTGCTACTAAAGTTTATGGTAGTGTATAAAGGATAGCAAAATGACCATAAACATATCATAGGGCTGCTTGAAATTGGTAAGGAAAAGCCATCTAGCCCGGAAACTTCAGAATCCCACCACCATAATGCTACAACTTAGTAGCATTCCATTAATATTCTGGGAAGTTGATTCAGGGCAGGCAAAAATGCACTTTTTCACACAATAGATAACATCTGAACTCACTGCCACAGGGTACAGTTAAAAATTAGATTAGACAAGTTCATAGATCTATTAATTGCTAGTAGCTAACTACACATTCAGAGGCAATATGTCTCTGAATCCCTGACCAGGATAGCCCAGCCTAGCCTGATTTCAACAGATCTTGAAAGCTAGGCAGGTTCAGCCCTGGCTAAGTATTTGAATGGGAGACCTCCAAGGAACACAGGGGTCGTGACATGGAGGCAGGCAATGGCAAACCACCTCTGAACATCTCTTGTCTTGAAAACCCCACAGGGTTGTCATAAGTCTGCTGTGACTTGACAGCACTTTCCGCCCCGTGTCTCTGAATATCAGTTGCCAGAGGGAAATAGCTTTGGACTCTGTGCTGTTGCTTGTTCAGTCTTTGGGGCATTCTGGTTGGCTATTGTGCGACAGGATAACTGGACTAAATGGACGACCACTGGTCTGACCCAGCAGGGTTCATCCTGATGCAACGTCATCCATTTATTTGAACTGAGGGTGACTTTGCATAATGAAGAAGCTACAGCAGAGGAGGTATGAAACAATTCTTTTGGAATTTTGTGATGCCCATTGTCCAAGTCGGGCTCAACTAGTCGGTTCAGACTATACAAAGTACAATATATAATTAACTTGATAACCTGAAATAGCTTTCTAAAATTATGAATGGGGAAGAGAGTATAGACATAAAGAACTTTTTCTCTCTCATAATACTAGAATTCGGAGTCATCCAGAGAATTTGGCTGGCAGCAGGTTCAGGACAGACGGAAGGAGGTACTTATCCACGTATCACCTAATGCACTTATGGACTGCAAGATGTGCTGATGGCCCCTAGAGTAGGTGTTTTGGCCGTGGAAGAGAGGATAGGTTAATCTACTCTTAATAGCCGTGCTTGCTAACCTGAACTTCTCAATAAATAAAGGCAGTATGCCTGTGAATATCAATTGGCAGGGATCAATGACTGGGGAACACAATAGCTATGTCTTATTAGTGTGTGCACAAAGGCGTCTTACTGTTTTCTGTTGGAAAGAGAATGCTTGATTAGAGAGCCTGATTTTGCAAGGCAATTCTTCTGAGCAAAGAAGGAACTTGTGCATCTTCCCCAAAGCAAAAGATGTGTGGACCTTACATACCTTTGGAAGTGCAGGGAAACTGCACCCCCCCTCTTGGGTGCTAGATACATGGATGTAGTAAGAGAAACCCTGTAGACAACACCTTTTTGAGCTCCTCTGGTGAAACCTGGAGGTCAGTCTATTATATAAATCTCCTTCTATGCTCTCAGTGAATCAAGGAGAAAGTTGGCTGTCTCTCAGTCAGGTGATGACAAGTGGAACCCCCTTTCGCTGGAAGACCATCTCAGCTAGATTTTGAACATTTTTATAGAAACAGCACAATTTGTAAAGATGATGCTTGGGTTCCTCTTTGCATCCAGTTTATCGTTTCTACAGAAATCGTATTAGACTATGACTTGAGTGTCAGATGGGTCACATCATTGGCAGAGAACAGGCCAAATGCAGCAGAAAAGTAGAGCAGAACAAAAGTGGTCATTTAATGTTCTTTATTTTATATGTTCCAGATCCAGAATAATTTGTGGACAGGAAATGCAGCTAGCAGTTCAGTGGTGACTTCCTGCATGCTTCCACGTGACACTTCCTCTTGTATGACCCCTTATTCCCACTCACCTCGGACGGATTCTGGGTACTCGGGTTTTTCCAACCATCAGAGCCAATTCAGCCATGTTCCCCTCAACAATTTTTTCACTGACTCTCTACTGTCTGGAACGACCAACGGACATCCATTTGAAACCAAGCCGGAATTTGAACGCAGGTCCTCAAGTATTGCGGTTCTACGAATGAAAGCTAAAGAACATACTGCCAACATCTCCTGGGCAATGTAATGTAACAGAATAGCCTTCCATTTAAATGTCACACCAAACCCTCACCATTCTAATTTCCCATATTTAAAGGAATCAACAATAAGCTGCTGTGTGAAGAATTGCTAGTGATCAGGATGATGACTGCTTATGCAAATCCCTAATGTGCTATTTAACAATAACATTTAAGCATAAACATATACGAGGACTCAATAGATCCACCATGTCCAAAAGCCCTCTGAAAACTTGCCAAATGTGTTTTATTGTACTGATTGATGAAATAAGATTGTAAAACTTGCAAAAAACAATAAACTTGTTAAAGATGTATATCTGCTTTATATTGCTGGATGTCAACATTGTGTATAAGTGGAATGTCTTATTCACTATAAAACAGGAAGTCAAGAGAAGAGAATATATTTGTTATGTCAGTACTATAAGGGAAATCTTTTTGTTAGCTGTACAAGAAATAAATCTAGTGCTCCTCTGTTTTAATAAATGAGAGATGCTGGAAAGCTTTGCACAATGAGCTAATTTTCCCTATCAGGCTCTGTATGAGTCCCAGTGGATACAACGGGAGCTTCTAGACTTTAGCACTTTCAAACACCTTGTGTTTAATACTGTGCTTCATGGATCTGAGAGAAAGAAAATGACCATCCAGTGCACCACTGTCCTAGAGTATATAATTTGCCATAGCTCTTATATTATGCTTGCTCTATTGGTCTGTGTTTTATCTGGCTTCAGAACCATCTGTAATGTAGGGCATATGACCAGGGCCACCCCGAGGGACCCAAGTCAGCTGGAGGGCCCTTGAAGACAGTGTAATGCTGCAGTCAAAGAACTCATTTGATTTTTTAAACTTCTGATACAGTTCTGTACTGCAGTCACTATGGGTATAGGGAAGGCAGAGCACAGTAAACAGCAGTAACTTTGCCTCTGCTGGCCTGGCCTTTCTGAAAAGTTTACTACTAGATTGAGGCAAACTCTTTCCTTGTCTTGATGGTGCTAAAGTCATCAATCAAGCCAGCACTGGAGCAAGACAAGACAAGACCAGCCAGCACAGCTCATTACTCCTACAGTCATTGCCTGGATACAGCCTCCTAACATCTGGCAGTCTATGGTTTCTTCTTCCTTTAGTACCACCCAGCTCCATGGTTTTGTCTGTGCAGCTAGATCTTGCAAAGAGGCAAAATTTCAAAAAGCAAAAACTGTTGTCATTTTCTTAATTTCTCGTCCTCTTTTCTACACTTTTCTAATCCGTCATTTTGCTCCAGCTCTCTTCCTTTCATGGTCTGCCTTTGTTCTTTTCTCCCCACTTTTAATTCTCCCCTGTCTCTTATTTTTTAGTCTTGGTCTCAACTCCTCCTCATCTATGCTGGTTGGCAACTTAGAACACATTTAATAGTAGTATAGCAGCAAACCTTTATTAATATTATGATATTGTGAACCGAAGGGGGAAGTTAATATTTTCCCATGACCTAGCAAAGTAGTAAAAGGATGCTTACTCCCCCTGCACCTTTTACATGCATAATAATGGAAAGTTAATCAGACTTAGTGGTAATAAATGAAGAACAGAAGTTAGAATTTAGTTTAGCTTCTGCGCAAATAGCATTGCGGGGTGTGTGTGTCTGAACATAACTTGGGCCAGGATATTCTGATTCCTTTGATTTTTGGCCCTGGAACTCCCACAATCATCCTGAAGCTGGTGGCCAATTTTGAGATTCTTATTTTTATTTTCTGATGAGTTGTGCCTGCCAAAAAATGGACAGAGAGATGGACATGCAGATCCTTTTATTATTGTAAATGTGTGGTAACAGCCAGCCAAGTGATTTGTTTTGTTGTGATATTTGATTCAGATCAGGGTCATGGGGGGGGGGGGGCTAGGTGGAATTTTTGTCCAGGAGCCCATTGGCTCTCAGCAGCCCTGCATCTGACTTCTAGTTTCCTATATAAGAATCTGCTTTCATTGCATGCAATTATGACATTTCATGATTTTAGATGCCCAGATAGATCTGCACAAAATGCTTCATAGAATCCTTATACATAATGTTGTAAGCCACTAAGTGCTTTAGTCTCAATTTTAGTATAAGGGGGAGGCAACAGAAGGAGAGACAAGGGCAATGGGAAGAGCGAAATTCAAATCCAGTGGTACTTTAAAGGCCAACAAGATTTCCAGGAATCCAGGGTGTGAACTTTCAAGAGTCAAAGCTCCCTTCATCAGAGTAATGGGAAGAATGTGCATAAATGTCTTGGAGGTTCATAGGCTTAGGGTAAGGATGCAAGGGTTAGTCTAAAGTTTCTTGGGGACAGGCTATATGGCAGATGTGGCTATATGGCAGATGTGGAAAATTCCTCATAGGTGTCTAACCTGAACTTCCTGAGAAAGGACATATAAGCTCCAAATCAGCACAGAGGGTGGTATGCTGCTGTATTTTTCCTGCCAAGGAAATCTGCACAAGTTCAGGTAGGCACCCTATTTCACTGTGATACATCTTTTAATGACTAAACCAGTTATGAAGGTAGAAAGCCAGTGGGAGAGTGGGGGCTATCTAGTGTTTTGCAGGGAGTGCTACTTGGATGATTATCTACCCACTGGGTGGAAATCATGGGGGTGTGCTTGATGCATGGAGCTCTTGGCACTCAGGGAGCAAATTGATACCCTTGAGGCCGGGGTTGCTGATCTGGAGAAGCTGAGGCAGAGGGAGGTTTGGTGGTGAGACCTTCAGGGACTTACCAGACAGTCCCACTCCTCTGCTGACAGCTCTTCTGTTGTTGTGGAGAGTGAGAGTCTTGAGGATGGAGGGCATCAGTCTGAGGAGGGGAGATGTGATCCCTAAGAAGGGACCCGTTCCTTGGGTGCCGGACAAATATCCTTTCGTACCGAGGATACTCATGCCATAGCCCCTATTTTCAGGAAGGGAGTCTGAAGAACTGAGCCAAGTTGAGGTGACCAGAGATGAAGTTCTAGACCTGTTTGGGAAACTTAAAATCTCCAGATCCTGATGGCATGTACATAAGAGTTGTCATAACTCAAATGTGAGATTGTTGATCTACTAACTTGTATATGTAACCTATCACTAAATTGAGCCTCTGAATGGAGTCTGAACTTGCTGAGACTTAGAGGGAAAAACATCTTGGGGTCATAGTAGATATGTCAATTAAAGTGTCAAACACAGTGTGCAGCAGCAGTGAAAAAGGCAAACTCTATGTTGGGGAGTAATTAGGAAAGGGATTGAAAATAAAACAGCTGATATCATAATGCCCCTGTAATATACTGGTGCAGCCTCATTTGGAATATTTTGTGCACTTCTGGTCACCATATCTCTAAAAGGGAATTGCAGAGCTGGGGAAAAAAAAGACCAGAAGGCAACCAAGACAATTAGGGGTTTGGAGAACCTTCCCTATGAGGAAAGGCTGAAGATTCTGGGACTTTTCAGTTTATGATAGTTATGATAGAGGCTTATAGCATTATGCACAGTGTGGAGAGAGTTGTCAAAGAGAACGTTTTCTCCCTCTCCCAAAATACTAGAACTTGAGGGTATTCAATGAAGCTGATGGGCAGTAGATTAAGAACAGACAAAAGGAAAATACTTATTTACACAGGGAGTGATTAAAATGTGGAATTTGCTGCCAGAGGATGTAATGATGGCCACAAGCACAGATGGCTTTGAAAGGGGATTAGACAGATTCATGGAGAATAGATATGTCAGTGCCTACTAGTCCTGGTGACTAAAGGGAATCTCCACATGCAGAGGCACTAAATCTCCAAATTCCAGTGCCAGGAGGCAACATCAGGGGATGGCCTTGGCCTCTATGCCCTGTTGTTGCCCTGCCAGAGGAACTAGTTGGCCACTGTGTGACACAGCATATTGGACTATATGGACCACTGCTCTGATCCAGCAGGGCTCTTACTATTTTTTTATGAATTGATCACATAGTTGCTGTTCAGGTAGTTCACACAGGCTTGATAACCATTTAATGACTCCCAGGGATTACCCAGAGGCAACATTCACAATCTACTCATGTGCAGCATAGGGCTATTCTTTGACTTCTATGTTCCTGAGTTTTCTACAATTAAGCATTTCCTACATAAGAAAAATTGCTAGTAAGAAAAATTCTGCCACCAAATTTAGACCTTGCTGTGGCCTAATTGGAGTGACTCCTGGCCATGCCATTGAAAACTGTGACCCAGTTCATGGTTAACATCTGGGGATGAATTGGTTGTCCAAAGTGACCAGCATTTGCACCAGATACTAAAGTCCTGTAAGCCTTCCCACCAAAGCAATACGTATTCATCTATGTGCAATGTCTTGCTTTTGAACTGCTAGGCTGGCAGGAGCTGGGGCCAGAGACGGGAGCTCACTCTGTCATGCGGCACTTGGGTCTCGAACTGCCGAGCTACAGACTTTCCGGTCTGCAGCTCAGTGTCTTAGAAAATTTATATCACAAAATGATTACAAATCAGTCTACTAAAACTATGAAAATATACTGTGTGAATATGGCAAGTATGTGTTTGTAAATGCAGACGTTAAACAGTTAATGTGGAGATTGACAATGAGTTCCTGACACATGTGGACTTGGTGGTAAACATTCCACTGCTTCAAGTGGTACCCAGATGATGCCACCCAGCGTTGGAATGTCCTCCTCCTCCTGAGATTTAAGAACATCCTGGCTTGCATATTTTTCAGAAGTGCATCTTATTTGGGCTTCTTTTTGACAGCTGCAGTTGAGACGGTATGAAGAATTTTAATTCATTTCAATATATTTAACAAAAATACAATAAAACCCTACAGTTGAATAGATGTTTGATCTCATGGACTGGTGTTATTGAGAATTGCTGCCAAGGTCATTTGGTATGAGGACAGAAACCTGAAAAAATTAGTTACTAGGATTTGAGGAATGAACAGAAGCGCATGACAACTCCTGTGCTATCAATGACAATGCACAATTCCCTGGAAATTCTGTGCCAGTGCTTTAGGAATGAATGTAGAACTGGGAGCGGCACCCAAATCTACTGAAGAATTGTGCTCAATCACTTTGTCTCACATTCCCATCACACTTTTTTTTGTCACACACACACATATTAACATGCTTGCCCTCCTACTAAGCAGTGTTTGGCTTTCTTATGGCACTTGATTTGATCTTTTGTTTTGTTTTGTTCTTGGGAGACAAATCCCTGAGTGCAAAATGAATCCAGAGAACATTATGAATAATGCCCGTGTGCAGATAAACT